CAGCTTTGATATTAATGAGTTTTTTGGGTTCATTGAGAACATGGTTGTTGTTCAATAATAACATTATTCCTCAAAAATACAACTTGCCTAATAATTCTGCACTCCCTGTAGAAGCCCAATCCTTTGAGCAGAGAATCAACGGAACACCCTGACACAGACTGAACAATAAAAAGAAAATGTGTCTATTAGACTTCTCCTTGAAGTCTGCATTGGTTGCTTTTGTGTGTCATTTAACTTTTAGACAGAAAGGTTTGCAGCAGGGTCACTGACTCATTTCCCTTTAAATTCTCCACCCACGGCTTGTCACGGTCGGAGGCCAATATGAGGAAATAGACTAGAGCAGACAGCACTCAGAAACATGTACAAATATGTACAGTACAGCTTTAAATAGAAATAAGTTTCTCATCCAGCAGTCATAAAATCATTGAACAATCCACACTGTGTCTATATCACAGCCAAATGTGGGCCAAGAAAAATGTATGTATGGACTGGATGGGTTGTTACGGACATCTGGTGAAAAGTCAGAAGAACTTTTACAAATATATTTACTTAGAAAATTTGTAACACGTCTAATGCTTATTTTACCGGCTGTACATAACCAACACATTTTACCTCACAGCAGTGACTCTGTGCTATCAGAACACTTCCTCGCAGTAGTTATGATTAGTATTAAAATCATTAATAATATATATTCTTTATACTGAGGAGATGATCGTTATTCTCTCACTGATAAATTCAAAAACTGGCGAAAAAGCAGCAAGAAATGTGTAGGAGGAGTCAACAGTGCTGATCAGGCTGAATGTAAAACATTTGCTCTGCATGACTGAGGGAACACGTGCTGGTTTCCAGGTTTTGTTATCACCACTGGTTGGTGGCACTGGTGCCTCACAGCAACAAGGTCTTGGGCTTGAATTCACCATAAATTTTTTACACAAAACAACATGTTTGTCATGTATATTCGTTACAGGGCAAGTTTAAAAATTGTGTTTTGTGACTTTTTTGCAATGTGCTTGGTGTATAAATGCCTCAAGTCTTAGTATATCACTTAAAACTTTATTTACATAGTACTTCTCATACAGTAAAGAAGACACTCAAAATTATGTACACATCAAAAGCAGAAAACAATACACATACATCACCTTCACTATGCCCTCTCATCTCCCCTCTATCCCCACTCCCACACCCAGAGATCAGACACTCATCATACAGAAACACAGGAGATGAAAAAGAAATGATAAATAACATAACAATGGTAATAAGGACAGATTAAATATAATAAAAAGTGAAAAAACAAGTGGTGCAAAAAAGGAAATAAATGAATAGTGAATTACAATAAAGAGACACAAAACCATAAAATGTAAAAAGAAACGTAAAAGATTTTTTAACATTCTAACATTTTAAAGTTTATCCTGGCTTCTATGGTCAACCAGCTGTTGAAGAATTGGGATGATATGGTCTCTAGTACGAGTAACCTAAACTTATCAGACGGTGTGGAGCTGTTACCATGCTGATGTAATGAAATGTAACTCAAACATATTCTGATATTAAACTAAACAAATGAATTCACTTTCAGTCAAACAAGTCAGTCAGAGTCCTGCTTGCTGCTCTTCCTCAGCCCCGTTTCCAGTCCCTGAATCAAAATACAAACTAAAGTCCACTTGTTGTTTAACTTTCCTATTTTTCATCTTAGTGTTTAAAATAAGAAAAAAAAAGTGAAAGAAATGGGAAAACGCTCTGTGTGTTTGTGTGTGCAGAGTTTCTACCAGAGCCAAATGTCATCACTCCTCACTGAAGTCGTCCACCAGTCCAACCACTGGGATCCAGCTGCTGCTCTCTAACTGGTCCACACAGCAGCTCAGACCTGACACATTCACTGTAAACACACTGGTTTATATTCTGTTTGTTCTCCTCATACTATCTCATCTATCTATCTATCTATCTATCTATCTATCTATCTATCTATCTATCTATCTATCTATCTCCATCTATCTATCCATCTATCTATCTATCTATCTATCTATCTATCTATCTATCTATCTATCTATCTATCTATCTATCTATCTTTTTTATAATGTTTTTAATGTGCTCGCTCTCTCTCCTCTCATGGTGCTTTCAGATCATCTCCTTCTTTGCTTCTTCATCATGAAGAGGAAGAGCCTTCTTCTACTGTTTAAAAATCACAACAGCAACCACAACAATGATCACAGCAAGTAGCAAACCAAAAACTACCGGTCCACCATGATGATTCCTACCAACTCCATCCTCCTTCCCTCCACCCTCTGTGTGTCCTCCTGTCTGACCTGCAGGTGAGAAACGGGTGTGAGGTGTCAGCTGTCAGGTAGGTGATGAGTGAAGAACAGAACAGAATCCATTTCCTCTTCAAGCTGCTGTTAGACATTATCTACTGCACTCTGATCACATCACTCAGACCAGCTGCTTTCTACAAAGTCTCATCAACAACATCTTTAGAAACAAACATCAACAACCAGGAAGCAGCTTCACCTCTGATCACACACACACACTCAACTCTACTCACTCACCTGGAGGATCAACAACTCTCAGGCTGATGATGCTGACGGATTTCCACGAGCGTGTTTCTCTCATGAAGACACAACACTTGTATTTTCCAGTGTCATTAATCGTCACATCCTTCAGAATCAGAGACGCGTCTCCATCCTTCATCTGTCTGTCCTGCAGATCCACTCGATTCTTAAAAGATGGATGCTGGTCATCTGGAACAAACTGATCATCTCGATACAAAAGGACATAATCTGGCTCCAGGTCAGCTCTGCTCCATTTTACAACTATGTTGTTGTTTGGAGCTCGACATGTCAGAGTGACGTTCTTTTGTCCAGACTCAGCTGTGATGATTTTGTGGTCTGAAAAGGAAACAACACAGAGCAGAGAGCATAAACGTAGGTCTGAATACAAATGATCTAATCAAAGGTGTATGAATGAAAGTCATGTGCATTTGAGTACAGCTGAATGAGTGGCTGATAAGTTAGTGCAGTGGTTCCCAAAGTGGGTAGCGCAGAGCAGAGCCATCGCAGGGGGGGACGCGGTATGAATAAAAGAGACAAAAAACATCGGTTGGACTTTTGTTTTACATCGGCTTGTAAAACAAAGGGGAGGCCTAGCAAAAAAAGTTCGGAACCACTGAGTTAGTGTGGCTTGCATATACTGTGCCTTGAAAAAGAATTCATACCCTTTGAACTTTTACACATTTTGTCACCTTACAAACATAAATTTTAATGTCTTTTGGGGGGGATTTTGTGTGATAGACCAACACAAAGTAGTACATAATTGTGAAGTGGTACGAAAATGATACATGGTTTTTAAGCAAATAAAAATCTGAAGAGAAGTAAGAACCAGTGAATCAATAATACTAAACTTTTACAGCAGTTTGTCCATGTTTTTCTGACACCGCTTTAAAGTGAATGACAGCACCAACTGCTCCCTCTCAGGTCAGGATGAGAAATTGTTTCTCTTTTACAGCAGACTCTTCTCTTCACAGTTTCATTATACAAACGTGGATGTTATCTAAACAATAACATCCACAGTCTTACATGACAGAAGAGGTTTGATGACAGGAGACCTGTGTCCTCTCTGTGAGCTGCCCAAATTAAAGCAGCTCTCATATCTAAGAGCGCCTTACTGAGAGGAAAAAATAAATCAATAGGATTTTAAAATAAAACTCACCTGCACAGGTAAAGCCCACGAGGAAGACAGACAGTAAAGTCCAGCAGAGCGACGGAGATGTTACAGCAAACATGTTTCATG